CTCGCTCTTAGTAGCGATGCTGGTAGAAAACCGAGCGATCGGTTTAGAGTTAAGATCCTAAAAATTAGAATGGATTTTAGATTCAAACTATTATACTACTTTCGAACCGTGCCTTAGAAGATGGTAAGAAGTACTTTATAGATGACATCAATCCCTCTTCGTACTAGTTCACGAGTTCTCTTTATATTTTATACATATTCTCCGAGATTGGTAGAACTACCATACATGTTAGGGTTCATCTTTCCCAATATGAACTTTCTAGAGAGCTTTATCTTCAAAATATGTAAGGCGAGATGAGAAGTTTGGAACTCGTAGCTATGGTGGTCCGAGTTTAACCGAGTCAAGGTGTTTAGCTTTTGGCGGGATACCGCTTAGGTTCCGAACTCATTAAGGAGGTTTTCGATAAACAAGTACTTTTATGACATTTTTTTATAGATGATCTTTACCGAGTTGTGTCTGCTTTTGGCATTGTAATAGTGCTTTATTTTTTCCTTTTTATCCTCTTTATCTACGAGGGCCTCCACTTATTAGTTCTTTCCCATGATGGTGAGTTTAGCTCTTGTGAGGTTCCGAAGAAAAATGGTGCCATCATTTATCGTTTCTCATATCATTACATACTCTTTTTACGTTTTCAATAAAGCATTGGTCATGTCCATTTGTATGGAGAAAAGATAAATCTCATTCAAAATGTTGCATAACACTAGGAGTTTCTACTAGTAGAGCATGAAAAGGTGCCTATGGCACAATTAGACATGATCTCAATACCATTATTTATTCTCAAGTCACTAAAAATGCTTTTGTAAGGTTCTAGACATATTGTTGCAACTAGACGACATCTACGGAGTTAGGTATTAGAACCTACAAAATCTAAGAGGATGGTGTAATCTAAATTTGTTTGATGATCAACCATGAAAAATCTTCAAGATTGTATGGAGAAATTAAAAAAACTAGCTTTATGAATAGTTTTTCACAAACAATGCTAATTGATGATCCTAAAAACTTGAATAATGATTAAAGGTCACGTGACTTTTGATGGATGATGATAGAGGATGGAGATTGATTGTTCTTCATAATCCTTCTTACCTAAGTCTCTTGTAAAATACGTCCTCCCGATGGGTTAGAGGACTCTCTCATAATAAAATCAATGATCAAATATATGAGTAGTCCGATTAGACTTTCAGTGTGTCTTTATGTGAGTGAGAGAGATAATGAATAGTATAATATTTTTGAAAGTGCAAGATTTAAACCTAAAAGTCTCGAGTGGTTAAGGTTTTTATATAGAAGATGTTTCTATCAAGTTGCATATTAGATATAATAGAATGGTTTATTTTTTAGCTATCAATAGCCTATGATGCTAAACTTGGGACACCTATACCCTTGATGTGACTTGTTCTCTAACAATACTAAGTTGCTATTAATTGGACAAGGATAGTTTCAAAAGGATGTCTTCATTAAATACATGTTTTTTTTTTTTTTTTGTTGTGATAGATATTAGAGTATGTTCTACTTTATCTAGAATGCATGTCCAAGGTTGAAAGGATAATGATCCTTTATTGAGGCGCCAACTAGTCTTTAAGTAGATTATACATCTTATTCTAGGTGTAATATGTATGGAGCATCTTGAATGACACATATCATTTGAGCTCATTAATAATTACCTTTATCGTGGCCATAACCCTTTCAAAACCCTCTCTTTTTATCTCCATAATTCTCTTTTCTTTAACCTTTGTCGTAGCTAAACTTGATAGTTTCTCTAGAAATTTGTAAGGATGTTTGCTTTTTGGTGAAAACTGAATAACCAAACCGTACCAAAATATTAATTTCGATATGATTTTTTTTAGAAATTAAAAAAATGAATCGAGATAATTTTGGTTTTGGGTTTCAAGTAAAAAAAATTGATTAAATCGAAAAATCAAAATTTTTAATATATATATATATATATATATATATATATATATATATATATATATATATATATATATATCATTTTTTAAAGTCATATCATTCACTACACCCATTATTCCTAAATTGAAAAACCCATCTTCCCTAAATTGTAATCCCTAAATCTCCCCTAGTCCCTCCTCCATTCCATGCTCTAGCCTCCTCCTCGCAAGTGCAAATGTGCAATTACGACCTTCTCTCAATTACCCACCTTCTTTCTCCTTTTTAGGCAGCGCTTAACTATCAGCCACATCCCTCCTCTTCACAATCGACAATATCTCAAAGATTTCAAGTTGCATCCTTCGATCCTTCTTCTAGTCTTTGACTCTTCTTTTACTCTCGAGCTTTCAAGACTGCAAGTTTATGGTGAGTCATGCTTATCCAAATAATTGGAGTTAATCTTTATCCTTTAGTCATTTAAATTATATGCTCTGGATCGATAGATGTCATGTTGATAATCCTAAACATGTTGATATTATAAATTGGAGACTTTATGTCACTATCCAAATGCATGCATAGATGTACTTCCTCCCACAACTTCGTATGTGCTCTCTCTATCTTTGCTATAAGTCCGGATGTATACAAAATAGCAAAAGCATTAATATATTTTCGATCGTCTTAAATTCAAGGCTTCGGAGTGGATAATTTATAATTGGTTTCAATCTCTAAATAAGAATAACCAAGACTAAGTACAAATATTCAAGACTTCAACACAAATCTCATGTTTCAAGTAAATAAAATGTTTATTAAATCTATTAATTAATAAAATATTTATGAAATTTTAATGTTTATGTTTATTTTCCAATTACATTTTTTCCAATTTTTTTATTTTCAAAATGATTAAATCATTATCCATGAATCAAATCAATTACATTAAATTAATTTAAACTAATTACGCTAGTAATTAATTCAAATGAAACACAATATCACAAACTAATAACAAATTAATTAGAAAACATTAACCATCCAACAGATTCAAAAAGTCTTAAAAAATAATCAACAAAATTTAACTAAAGCACTTAAAAAAATTATATAATTTCAAAATTAAGTTAAAACAAAAAAATACCTAAACTAACCTAATAATTAACACAAATAAATAAATAATTTAAAATAATAATTAAAGATTAAATAATTAAATTTTAACCCGAAAATTAAAAATTAACATAATTAAAATTTTTTTAGCTTTACGTTAACCGAAGAATTAACATAAATAAAAAATAAAACTTTACAAAATTAATCTAATAGTTATGAAATTAAATAACAATTAAGAAATTTACACTAATACATACAATTTAAGATAACTAAAAATTAACATAATAAGAAAATTAACAACATTCACATAATTAATCAACTAACAAAAAATAAAATTTATCTAAAAATTTATAACATTCATTTAAATTAAAAAAAGAAGCATAAGAGTTATAGAGAGAAAGTTTTACCCGAGAGATGAAGGAGAGAGAGCACAAATTTTGTCCGATTTTGAGAGAAAAAGATGGACATCATTCCGTTGAACGGTTTGAGAAGTCGTTGGTGGTGTTAAGGCGGCGTGAGTAGTGGTTTTGTGGTCGGCAGGGAAAATTTTTGTGGAGGGGAAGAAGAAGGGGAGAGGGGTATATATAAGAAAATTAGTGACTGAAGTAAACCGATCACTAATCCCTTGTTGATTAGTGACGGATTGTAATTTTGGGGGGAAAATTCCCCTCCAAAAACCTATAATTAGTGATGGACTTGACAATATTTAGAGAGAATTTACTCTCAAAAATCCAAAATTAGCGACGAGCTAATAGTCCGTCACTAATTCCGACCTTTGGGGGAGAATTCCTAGGCCAATAGCTAAAATTGGTAACGGATTGGGAATCCATCACTAATTTACATCTAAAATAATTTAACAATCGAAATCGGCCGCATCATTGAATCCGATGCTTTTTTTTTCTCGCATTAGTTTGCGACAACTTAGAGATGTAATTATACCATCACCGATTTTCTCTTGCTATGGTGTCGCTAATCGGTAGTAAAAATCAACCTTTTCTCATCGGTTGCTAATCCATCGTTAATTCATCTCTAATTAAAGATGGAATGTTATTCATCGTTAATTGTCAATTTTCTTGTGATGAATGTTTGTTGGATTTTCCAAAAGATATTTAAGAAAAGTGCGTAAAGAATAAATAAAAATAATCTCCCTTTGTTTTCAAGTGGAACAAAGGTTCCACGGCTTTTGTTGACGTTTAAAATACAAATATTATATATACCAGTAGTTGCTAAGCCTCTAGGTTAATCCATTTCTTTTACAATGAATAGGTGTCTTAATTTTTCAGTGCTGTCTTGTGTTAAAAAGTAAAAACAATTAATATCTTTTGTGCAAAAAAATTATCGATTAACCAAATGTTCAAAACATCCAATTTGATTTGCTGTGAAACAGTTAATCTCATGTTTCAAACATCTTGAAAATTCTAAAATTATTTTGGAATAAACTTGAAGACCAATATCTTTGGTTTTCACAGGCACTTCAAAAGGTGCCTAAAGAATAAAAACAACTTTGTTTGTTATCTATGCGGGTCAACAGCTTGAAGGCTAGTTTCTTTTGACGTTTGAGATATATATATAATGTTACCTATGTTTCGTAGATCTGGAATTTTCAATCGTGAACGCTAGCAATATTAATTCTTTTCCTGCCTGCGTTTTGCGGGCCTATTAATTTTTTTCTATATATAATTATTTAGTCTCATTGACTTCTTGAATTGCCAGCTTGACACATTACAGATTTGTATCTTAAATTTAGCCTGTGTCGAGTATACAGTTCTCGATAAAGAATTAATATACTACGTATTTTACAGTGTCATAATCTCATTGGTGCTAATAAATAAATTTATATAATTAAGCTACCACTTGCTCCAAATAAACATTAAAAATATGTCCTTCAAAAAATATTGCAATATTACAAGTACAGAATATTTGGGACTTTGTATTAACCTATATAATTAGCTTCTTGGAGAGGATCAATACCATACCATTATAGTTCCATAGTTAAGCCTACGATCTCTCCTAACTCTCTCCCAACCATGGCCAAAACCCTCATAAAACTCCCTTTTCTCTTCCTCTTTCTCACCACTGTTCTCTTCTCTTTCGCCCTTGCTACTGGGAAATCTGACAGTTTCTCGAGGAACTTATCTCCAAAAAAACTAGGCCTCAAACGGGAGAAACTAAGCCACCTTCACTTCTACTTCCACGACACACTTAGTGGAGAAAATCCGACTGCTATTCCTGTTGCCCAAGCAGCCACGACCAACAAGTCTTCGACATCATTTGGGCTGGTCGTAATGATGGATGACCCCTTGACTTTAAAGCCCGAGGTCAAGTCGAAGCAAGTAGGAAGAGCCCAAGGGTTTTACGCATCTGCATCACAAAGTGAAATTAGCTTTTTAATGACACTGAACTTTAGTTTTACGGAAGGGAAGTACAACGGTAGCACCCTCAGTATCCTGGGTCGCAACAGCATATTTTCTGGCGTTAGAGAGATGCCAATTGTTGGTGGGAGTGGGCTTTTCCGTTTTGCAAGAGGCTATGCTCAGGCAAAGACTCATACGATTAACCTTAAAACTAATGATGCTATCGTGGAGTATAATGTGTATGTCGTCCATTATTGAGATAAGTTGTAGATCATTTGTTGCTTTGGTTTTTTTAATTCCTGTTTTATTTTTATTTGTTATGAGTTGTTGATGTACGCTGAATTTACTTCATGCTTGATGCTGGCTCGCTATTATATTTTATAATTCAAGTGGTAATTTAATGGATCGGTCGAGCTTCAATTCGCTCTTTTTTTTTTTTTTTTGCCCTTTTGGTACCCTACCACTATCTCCATTTATTCTAAGAAATTTTTTTTTACTCAATCACTCAAGGTTCTTAATAAAATCTATTAAGATTTAAACTCGTAGTTTTTTATTATGAAATATCATTACCATCGAGTTACAAGCTCTTTCATATTTATTTTAAGATTAAACAAAATAGTTAATTAAAGAATCCCTGGTCATAATTTCTACTTAATTTAATTAACTAAAAGCCAAAATGATGTCACAATATCATATCAAATCTGCTAAATCATATTGAAATATATGTGTGTCAGATGTATCCATAAGACGTAAAGAGTAAAATTTTTAATTTGAATGGACATGTAAAACTAATCCAAAATATTTCTCATCCTCAAATCAAAAACATTTAAAAAGAGAGTATAAATCAGTGCTGTTTACAGCATTAAAGCTATTTAACGACATACTTATGCGGCCTTACGCCTACTACTTGAGGTGCGTGTCTCAACTTTGGACACGGTTTAGCCTCAAATGAAAGATGCTTTAAGGAACTACTGCTCGATCACTTATTTTAATTGTTAGATTATCTTCAAATTGATGAAAAAAATCATGAATTATTTTTATGTAATTTTGATTCATTTGAAATTGAGTCATTTTATTATATTATGTTTTGTTTTTACATTAATTAATGATTAAAAATCATTAATTATTCCTTTTCTATTGAAATTTAGGCGAATAGTAACTCTATTAAGTATTAAAATAGTAACTTTATTAGGTATTGATTCCAATGGTAAAAAAGATAATTAGTGATTTTCATCCATTGATTAATAAACAAAATTCTACCAAATTTAACATAATGATTCAATTACAAATGTATTAAAATTAAAAAAAAGGGTCAATTTCATTTTTTTTTTTAATCGAGAGACCAATTCTCAAAAACTTAAGGTCAGACAAGAGATTTGGTCCATTTATTTATTGTTTTAAATTTATTCTTAGCTTTTCTATTAGTCCAGCCAAGTACCTGTAAATCCAATTATGTAAACAGGTAAGTGACCACATCCCGCCTCCAAAGAGCTTATAACGTCCACAGCCATCAAGCTTAGCTAGTAATGATTTTTTTTTTTTTTTTTTTAAATTTGGTATTCAATCTTATTTTTAATATGAAGCATTGAAATAAATACAACTGACCAATTTTAAATAATACCAAACTTACTAATTAGTTAGAACAATGATATTAAGAAAGTTAAAATCACTCGCTTTATTTTCTTCACACAAACACACAATTTGATTTAATGTTGTCATGAAGTTAAAAAATAAAAATTATTAATGTCTACTGAATTTTCTAATAGTAAAAATGGTTGAATTCATGCCAATAAAAATCTGAATAATCATAATATGCTCAAGTCCATGAAACAAGATGTTATTTTTTTTATTAATTTATGATACATTAGATAAATATCTAATAGATATCGAGAAGTATCAAGTCAAAGATCGTATCCCATACAGATTTGAAATGGATATGGAAAGAATTTTGAAGAGACAAAATGTGTTTTAAGTGAAATCTTAAGAAGACTTCAACAATATCACACTCTCAAAAGTTTTTTTTTTCAATTTTTATTTTGTCATGTATTAAAACTTAAAAGACTCAAAATGCTAAAAAAAAAAAAAAATCAAATCAAAGTAGCAATAAATAATTGGATCCAGTAATTCCTTGGTCGGTAATAAATTACAGAGATTATATTTATTAGAATAGTTGTTACGAAAAATATAAAAAGGTTAAGTGCAAAGAAAAAGAAACACGTGTAACAGTTAATTAAAAGAGAGTATATGTTGACGGTACAAGTAATTAAGAAGTAAACTAAAACATAATTAACTTATACTACTTCATTGATAAATTGTCAGATGCAAAACAATTTGTTTTTCTTGAAGATGCAAAATGTGTAAATTAGAAAGAGTAAGGACTGCTCTCAAAAAGAAAGAAATAGAAAGGATTAAAGTATTGGATGGGCGGCAATAGTTGACCCCACCCGATTATGCCTGACTCCGCCAGTGTTTTGAAATAGGGTAGTGTCTATCGGCATAGCTTTTACATTGATAAAATGATTAAATTAAAAGAAACGGTTTTGGTGCTAACAATAATTAAAAAAAAAAAGAAGCTTTTCTGAAATCGATTGCTGAGTTCCGCCGCTGGAGCGTTGGTTTTCGGTGGCTGCCACCATGTTGCAATCTTATGAAATCCAGGTGAAGGATCCACCTCTGGCTGAACTTTTTATTGGAATTCGAAAGACAATGAACTGGGTTTTGCAATTTAGCTTCTATTGTTCATGGGAATGGGCTTAAGCACTCCTACATTTCTTATTTTATAATTTGTTTCCTCTCTAGTATGTTATTGCAATTTCTGTTGTGATTAATTTGCTAGGTACATGTATGTGGGCTTTGTCCTTGAACAACATCTGATCGGGACTGATTTTGAATCGTTTTTCTTCGCCCAAACTATTGAGAGTGTACATTCCTTGATTTGCCCAGTTGAACTCTTTTTAGTCTACTGCTATTAGTTTATTTATTTATTTTTTCTTGTTTGGGTTGAGGCCCTTTCATTATGCATTTTCCAAGTTGGTTCATGAAATTCTAAGCTCTTTAAGTTAGATTTTTGTTTTGTTTATAATTGTCTTTTTAACAAAACGAATGGTCTTATCATTATAACAATTCTGAGTTCTGTAAATCATTATTTATTATTATTATTATTATTTTACTTTTATTACTATGATGTACAACCAATTTTAAGGTTTCCTTGAAGAAAAAAAATCTATTGCAAACTAAATATGTCATTTTAGGTAAATGAACTAGAAGAGCATCCTCAAATCTTCATGATCCACCTCCTGGTTTGGATTCGCATTTAGTTGTCAGTAGCTTAACATGTTTCTCATTTTATGTATTGGTCTTTTTCAAAGGATATTTTGGGCAGTATGGGACTGATTGGGCTTGTTTTATGGGCTTCGTAGGCCATCAGGCCAACCGCAAGTGACCCAACTCAATATAAAATCACAGTCCACTAGGCTTTGAATTTTTGCCTGCTCTACAGCAAAAGGTAAAATATAAGAGAAAATGTATAGATTTTGAATTGCAGAGTGCAGCAAGCGAGAGTGTATGATTTTGGTGGGCTAATGGGGACTAGAGAGGTATACGAGAAGGGCTGGAAATCTCTATCACGATCCTACTATCTAACCTGGACTCGGTTCCCGTCGCTGTCCTCGGTGTCTTTCTCTCTTGAACCCTAATTCTGTACCTATTCAGCTTCAAAACTCTAACTCTCTCTCTCTGCTTATTTTTCTTTTCAATGATATAAACAACGCAAGCAACGCACTAATTCTCTACTCTTTGTTTTTCCGGTGCAGGCAAAGGGAGAATGGACTATTAATTCTGTTTTACATGACGCAACTGTTGTGGTCAATGTTTTTAGTTTCATCTAATTTTCATTTTTTGTTTTGCTTAATTTTTTTTTTAATTAAACTCAATTTTTAGTTTTTTTTTTCATGCTATTTTAGTTTGCTTTTTATTTTTATTTTTTGTGATAAGTCGAGTTTGAGAATTTGTGAATTGAAATAGTCAAATTTTACATCGGAAAATTTCAAATCCTTATTGTATTTTCTGATTTGTAGAATTAAACCTTGAGCGTTTTGCTAAGAAGATCGGTACTTCTAGAATTATTATAGCTAATGATTTAATTTAATTTTTTGTTATTGAGTAGGCTGGCTCGGGTATTGATGGAATGCTTAGTGCAGTTCATGGTTTCAATACCGGTAACAATAAAAAGTTCCTTTTGTCTTGGTGAATTTTGCAATATGTTTTTGTGTTAAGTACACTCCTTTGTTTCAGGGATCCCATTCCTTCAAAATCGATTGAAGGGACCAAAGTGGCTTCCTTTTCTAGTCGGAGTACTCTACTATCCTTATTTGTTTGTGTTTTCAGAATCTTTTGACTAACTAATGCCTATCTATTGTTTTTGGTAAATATCAATGAATCGTGACATGCTGAGTCAATTTGTTAGTGTGTTTTTTACTTGCAGCTTCCTTCACTGCTTGCGGTTTCGAGTGCCAGTGCTGCTTTTGGAGGTAGGTCTATTACTATGAAGTATTATACCATTTTCCCAGCATGCTATGGATAATTAGGCTGTGTCTTGATTCTACAAGTTTTTGCATTGTCTGGTTGCGTATTGTTAGTTTTTAGAAATGTTGATCATTGCTGCCACCAGCTATAACCTGTTAATCTGTCATTATCTAGGGAAAGCAAAATTGAAATAGTATGTGATACATCATTTCTCACAAGATTATCTAGTAGTTTTGAGCTAATCTTATCATCTTTTCCTAATTTGTGCTACGAGTCTACAAAGAGGATGAGTTTTTTTGGCATGGGGTGGAGGGGGCTGGGGGGTTGCTGGGGGATAAATGATTTCTCTGGGTAGGTTTTTGAACTCTTACTCAATGGATGATTGACTGGTTTTGTGAAATGCCCAAAATTTCAATTTTTATGCCTAAAAGTTCACCTCACATAGGAAGGTTCTATCGCACAGAATGAGGGTGGTGTTTTGTGTGTGTGTGTGTGTGTGGGGGGGGGGGGGGGGGTGGTGGTTTCTAATGCTCAGAATCGATTTGCATAGTTGAATTGAAAATATAGTATATTTAGTAGAACATTTGATTGAGGTTATGTGGTGAACTAAGACTCCAGTGCCTAGTTTGTTTGTGACTTTTAGAAGTCACATTCCTATGACAGTTTTCTGAAAATAGAAATGAGTTCCAAAATTTCAACATTTTTCTGACTTTTAGAAGTCACATTCCTATTCCTAGTTTTGATGTGCCATACGACCCACTACATAAATTGCGACGTATTTCTTGAAAATATAATCATTTTAAATATAGATAAGATACCTCAACATCATCTGAAAATTTTCTTTTCCTTCTATCTTTTCTCTTCTAACATAAACTAATTCTTGCTGTCCCTCAAGTGCCTGACTCTGTGATGCGCAATAACAGCCATATCAATCAAAGGATCAGTTAGTCTCAAGAAACATAACTAATTGATGCGAATAGAGGTTTTCCAGGAAACCAAACAATTTAAAAACTCAAATTTCAAAAAAGAAAAATAAAAAACAAAAAATTGCAAACATTTATGCGTCAAGTATATGTTACTGGTTTTTTGTAATTCGAGCTAGAGAGTTCAATGGTCATGGATTGCTTCATACAGTCCATGAAAGAATGAGCTTGAAGAGGCTCAGTGCAATCTAATTAGTTGCTGGCTTATGGATTATAGGAAGGTTGGCTTAAGAGCCCAAATGGGGCCAAACCCATGGCTTCTTGCAATAGCATGTCACTTGATCAGGCAATGAGAGGACTAGGTTGATGTGCTTCTATCAATCTTGAAAGTTTCATCATCTGAGGCAGTAACAGGTGATGATAGCAGGGTGAAATGAAAAACTTAGAGAGGGTTATTGTCCTATTTGAACTGATTAGTTTCCCTCACAATTGTGGGGCCCCTAAAGGTTAGCTTCTTGGATTTAGAAAAATACTAGAGAAAACCTAACAGTTTTGGTTCAAAGGTATGTGACAGGATTAGTGAAGTATTTATGGTGCTTCTTGGATTTGGACAAGTACGAGAGGAAATTCCTCACGGTTTTGGGTCAAAGGTGTGTGACATGGTTAGTGAAGCATTTATAGTGCATACCAGGTTCCTTGCAGGTACTATGCTGCCCAGGTACTTAGTCTTCTAGCTGGCCAGTTTATTTCTCTGAGCATTTTTTAAGGTATATTCTACTATGTATCCACTATAAATAAGGACTGTTATTCGATTTTGTGTATGTACCATGTTTTCTTCCCAAGTAATGTCTTATTGTTGACTAAAATATATTTGATTTATGGGAGCATTTTAAATTCCGATTTAGTTTTTCTTTTTAATGTGTAATGACTTGGTTGATAGAACAAATTCCCTGTACTAATGCACATCATCATCTTGACAAGAGCTTCTTGCTCTGTGTATTTTTGTTTGCTGACTTGCTTTTCTGAGTTAGATTTACTTGTATTTTATCTTTTCTACAATCTACATTTATTGAATTGGGTGTTTAATTATAAATTTGTAGGTTATGTGTTTCCAAAGTTTGCTCAACTTACTGTGACGTCCTATTATGCTGCCTCAAGTGCCTCTCATTATGGGATTTCACTCCTCACCAGACATATTGAAGAGGTCTATACTTCCCAGGCTCAGCAAGAAAGGCACAGATGATTTCTTGCAGGTGCACATACTACAAAATTTGCTTTCCTCAATTTTGTAAGCAATGTCATTTGTATGTATGAATGCATGAACTTGTAGAGGCTGTAATTTATGACGCTTACAATTCTGCTTTTCTGAGTATTAAATTTTTTTCATGATAAAACCAATTTATTTATGAGTGAAAAATATTGTATCAAGATGCTTTTAGGGTGTTCTTCCAACTATTTTGATTGTAAAGGTGTTGATAACCGATTGAAATGCTGTTGTTGGGGTGGCAGATGTTATCCACATGTATGATGGTATAAGTTGAAAAATATAGGGACAGCAATAACTTTATAAGCTTTTATGTGAGAATAAAACGTTCATTTCTATTCCCACAATTCTATTCCTGATTATTAAATAGCACCTTAGGGAATGCATGTTAGAAACAAACAATAATGTGAGTGCATGACTGGTGATTTTAATGGTTCATAGTAAACTGCTTTGACTAAATGGGTTGTGCTAGTCTTTGGCTAGGATCTTTCATTGACGGCCACAAAATTTGCTTTCTATTTCAATCTGATGTTGGTACGTATAATGTGTAGCAGTCGATGCATGAATGGGAATAACATGTTCTTTAGGACACAGTAGCCAGCAGTGAATTGGTGTATTTTGTCCTTGTTACCTTGTTGACAGTTTTATCCTGCTGCTCTCGAAAAGGATATGAGAGGAAACTTTTACCATGGATGTGCATTACGTGTGGTAGTGGTACGTCAGTGAGGAGATTCAATGAGTTTCTATCACGGCCTTGTCTTTGCCAGTTGAATAAGGTCCGCCTATGGGAATCTGAGCTTAAACGGGACAGAATCAACTGGATGTGTTACTTGTAAAACGTAAAGATGGTTATTGTAATTTTGAAACATGGGCAGTTACATTTTCAAAATGTGAACCTGGACTTTGTGAAGTATCTAATACTTACTTGGGCGAAAAGCTGTTGAATCTGTGTCAAAAGAGTACTTTCCTGAGTCCAATATATGGCCCATCAATTGTAAATGAGAATGGGCCTCTAAATTTTTAATCCATAGACTTTGAAGTTCCAGGACAAATAAGCCTGTAAAACCAGCAATTAAAAATTAAGTTAAAGCTAAATTAAAAGTTGTACTCTCCATCTCAAACAAAATTGTCCTTTATATATGTTTAGCCAAAATTTTAAATAGTGTATTTTTATAAAATATCTCTAATTAATAAAAAATAATTCTTTTTTTTTTTTCATTTCTTATTTTTTACTAATAAAAAATTAATATTATGTATGTTTTTGCTTTATACATGCAAATACGTATAGAATTTCAAAGAATATATTTTTGTCACATAAAAAATATTCATAGTAAAATATAAATTAGTCCCTCTTATTTTGAGAAAAGAATTAATCAGTCTCCTTTGTTTTGAAAATTAATAATCTTATCTTTCACGTTTTAACTTGTCAATGATTTACCTCTTTTGTTAATTTTTTGTTAGAGGAGTGATGATTATTATTTTTTTCTCACATGGATCTCCTCATTTCCTCTCCTCAAGCGCCAAAAACAAATCGTCATTTCTCTCCTCAGTTCTCCACGTCTTACTTTATTAATTTCCACTTTCTTTGTCTCTCCTTACGCATTAAAAAAAAAAAAACTTCGTGCATGGATGGGGATATATGTTAAACGGTATTTTAGATATTAGACGTTAATTTGATAGATTTGACATAAACTTAACGACGGAGAACTATATGATTTGTATTTGAAACAAAAATTAATTAATTTGTTTTTCAAAATGAGAGGGACTAATTTATAATTGATTTAAAATATAGGATTTTATTGCATGTTAAAATTTTAGGAGTAAAAATATTTTCATTAATATATATATATATATATATATATATATATATATATATATATATATTAATTTTTTAAACTTGATTCTGAATTAACTTGATTTTTTTTTCTTTGATTTATCACTTTAATTTTGGATAGATTTTTTTATAAAAAAAATTAATATTGATTTAATGTAATGTAGGATTAATTGATAGTTAACAGTTTTAACTATCAATGGAGATGATCTCTTTGGAGAAGAAAAAGTATTTGTATTGTGTTAATTGGATTGGTTTGTTTCAAGACTATTATTTTGATTTGTTATGTTATTTAATTATATATTTTTGATGCAATATGTTGGATTAAGTTCAGTACAAATCATTGTTAGTTTATGACACTTAACGTGTTTAAAAGATGCAACGTGTCCAAAATTGAATTTTGATGTAATTTTTTTCTATAAAATTACATATTACAAGAAATTAAAAAATTATAATTTTTTAATAATTTTTTATTTTATCTTTATTTATCATCTGTAAAAAAAAAAATTATCTATTGTAATTTATAAATTTACAAAGATTTTTTTCCTTCAAAATTTAGTTTTGAGCAAATGGCACCTTCTAATCATGTCATATGTTCTAAACTAACCATGGTATGCGTATAGCTTAACTCAGATATGTATGAATTAAGAAAATATAATTGAGAGATATAATAAATCAAAATAATAATATAGAGAGACACCTAGCCAAATCGATGTACTATATAGTACATGGACAATTTGGAGTTTTAACTCATTATTTTAGTACCATGTAAAAAGTAGTATCTTCTTATTTAGAATTAAATAGTGCTTTTTGAAATGTATTTGGATTGAAAACATTAAATTATTGTTATTATTATTAGTATTTTCTTGCATTCTGATTGTTTTGATTGACGAGATATCAAAATCACCGAAAAAAAACTTCTTATATATATTCAAATGAAAATACTTTCAACTATATTAAAAAGCACATATATATTGCGATGACTATTTAACTCGAACCTGATGGATACTATTCAACCTAAATAAATAGAATTTTTTTATGGACGGTTATTATTGTGGATGGAGTATGGCTATCCAAAATCCTTAATTGCTAAATAATGGATAGTGTTTGGATATTGAGAGATATGCTTATACCGATCTAGTAGCCTATGCTTTCAATAGAGCTTAAACAATAGGTATTCAGGAGTCTTTTATCTATAGAGAGATAGTGATTTGAAAGAGAGGTTCGGCCATGTGAAGGAGAGAGACACGATCGTGTGAGTTTTTTCTCTCTTCTATGCTTCATACTTCTGTCCATGTGAAGCACTTGTCTTATGCCCATGTGCCTTGAGGATTTGTTTGTGCATGTTGGAATATTGTTGGAGAGAAAGAATTTTGTTAGTTTTAGTGTTAAAGTTAATATTTTCTCTCTTTATATCTCTTGTTTCTTACATCGAGTTAACTCACATAAGCTTAGAGATGTATTTTGAGAAATTATTTGACATTCTTGAAGATTTGCAGAATTCAAGGGAAGGTGGAGATTTGTCATATATGACTTACATTTTATGGGCCAATAATATATTTAGCCAATTAGATTTTTTCCTTTATAAATATGAGATATTTAAATCTCCTTATTTATTTATTTAGAAAATAGAATTAAAAACGGAGACTTGTATTGAGTTTTCAGGATTCGTATATTATCTTATTATCAAGCTAATAAAACTTTTCTCTCACCTTGAAGTAGGTAATTTGCCAAACAACATAAATCTTATATGTTGATAATTTATTTAGCTTTATCTTTTGATCATTATATGTTATTACTTGCCTTGTTCCTGTTGTTTATTATAACACATATGTCCTCTGTCCATGAAAAATTTTCGATTATGGTCCTGATTGCTCAACCGAACGTTGTACTATTTAATTATCCGGTCGGGCAACATTTCAGCATTTATTCTGAATTTTTGCGCGCTCAAACTATTACGAAAACTGTTTTGCCGTTGCAAAAATGGTATTTTATTATAAGATCAATGTGTTTGGAATTCATTTAAATATATTGTATAGAGTGTCTTCCATTATGTGAATTAATCTTTAAACTAAGCTATAAAATATTTTATTTTATGTTCTCTACAATCTATTAATCATACTAAATAATAAAAAAAATTGAAAAAAAAAGAGTAAATAAAATAAAGAAACAAGAAAACGAAAACATGAATGGAGTAAAAATTTTAGACATAGCAAAAGAAAACCCACGGATCCGACCACATATTGTATACGTTTGGTGGCATTTATTGCAAAATGTCATAATCTACTCTCCTCCTACCACCTAATGGAAGTGAAGCAAACCTTTTATCGGGGGAAACTTTGTTTTTTTTTTCAAGCAGATTTGCATCTACCAGGCGCAGGTTAGCAAGAAGGTGGGCTACTGTATAAACTGTCAACCTCGTCTGCAACATTATAGGGTTGTGGACCAGTGTTTCTTAAATTCCACTGGTCTTTCTCTTACATACACGAAACAGGAGAAGAACAGCGAAGTAAGGTGGATGTGGTCCTAATGATAATATGTGTACGTACTCTTCATAAGTCTTTATTGTGCTTCTTTATATCATCTTCCTCATCACATGCCTTCTCCTAGATGCATCTACTCGTGGACCCCCTGGATAGTTGGGTTGATGTTAACAATAGGGCAATTTTTCTTCTCCTTTTTTGGGCTGGAGGGGGTTGGGGTGCCCTAAATTCCCCACCTGTTCCTGTAGCTTGTACTAGTTTGGGAGGGCAGAAATGTCTCTTGGAAAGGTTTTTAGGGTCCACAAACCAAGTTACCGCCTTGTTAAACGAAAAATGCGATGGGTTTCTATTTACTGGATTACTGTTGAGTTGCATTGTGTTTATATCCATGTCTCCAAGAGCATCCTATCATCAATATTTGGACAAAACTTCATAAATGCATTATTCTTGTTATTGCCCTTTTAATCCTTGCAACCACACAATGAACTGAACACCTCAACAGAGTTCCTACTTTTCCTTAACTATGGGGCTGATATTTCCAAGGTTGCTATGTAGTTCCAGCAATGCTAGTCCCTTTTGAATGGCCATAGGGCAAAATATCCTCTCTATTTCCTCTTAAAAAAATACAGTTTAAGGACTTTTTTTAGCTTTCAGTACCAATTTCACTGCAGCTCTGGCAGTTTAAAAGAGTAATTTTTTGGTACTTTGTTCAACAGCTGGAATGGACACAAAAGTAAGAATGGAAACAGAGCTAGTCACCTCCATGTTGTCCTTTATGGCAATATTCGGTAAAAAGTTCTGGAGTAAGAGTTTCTCAATATAGCTTGAGAACAGCTCCTCAACCTAACTGATGTTGAATTTGTTCTTCCATTTTTAAGTATTTGTTAAATTAAACATTTTTATTTAACAAATACGTAGGGCTACTATAAATAGTTGGAGTTTTTCACAGGTCATGTCTGGTCTAACAAAATCTTATTTCTTGACTTTTTATTGTCGAGCTATGGAGAAGTGATTGGAGACATCTCTTAGCTAGCTAGGGTATTTGGGTTTAAGGCAGCATGGAAGTGCCCTGATTCTCATTCTCAGTCCTTCCTCCTCCCACCTGCAGGGGAGAATGGTCGTCAATGGTTACAAAGCCCCATAACTTTTTTAATCAAAATAAATTAAGCTCGCAAAGGTTTTAGTTAAGAAGTGCTTTTTTATTGATATTAAGGCAAATGGAGTTCTCATTACTTGCATAACGTAACGCATTTTTAGCACTTCATTTTATTTTTAAAGTGTTCAAATGTTTTGAAAGTATATCAAGCTAATTAAAACCATGTCCAGTACTATAATTGGGTTCTGGATGACAGCTTTAGGAGTAATTCCACATTGACGGCTTCTCTTGTATTGCTGTAATTATAACTGAGTTTTCTTTCGTACAAACAGGACTAATGTGACCGTTAATTTGGCAGTAATGATTTGGTTTTACAGTGTTTAAGATATAAATCTTTAAAGTACCCTTTCTAGTTGGTGTCTATTAAGTGAGATTCATTCTAATTAAGATGCATGCATGTGATTGAAAGGCAACTGAGTTTCCTTGCTATAGCTTTCAATTTTAATTCAGGAAGTTTAATTATATACATACCACACAATTAAGAGCATAATCAAACAGACCCCACTGCTTAAGCAAGCTCGAAGTAGTTTTTGCTTTGAGGATTTGAATAAAAAGAGCATTTTCGTACCATTCATCATTCTATGCACTCATATACCAGTGTGATGTTTACAGTTGTTGAGAAGTTGCTTAAAGTTAATGAAGTTTACTTGTAAAATTATAGTTTCTAAGAAGGAGCCTCATTTCGGCTATTTGAAGTGAGTACTTACAAGAATCGAAATTTGTTTTTGCTGGAATCTGGGAAAATATCTCATACTAGATAGAGGATGAGCAGTTTTCTCAGATCAGCTGTATTCAAAACTGGGCAGAGAAGACCATATATTAGGCGGTGTTGTAATTCAAGTGGCTTGTAGTAACAAGCTATGCATTCAATTCATCCATTCATACATCAATTCAAGACATTGAAATTCTATCCCAAGAGATGTTCATTTTTGTGAAAGCAATTCCAGCTCTCTTTTTCCCTTATTAGTTGATGAAATAATTCCCTCTTAACCCAACACTTAAGTCGGAAAAAAATTCTTCAATCCTTTATTATTATTATTATTATTATTATTATTTTTGTGAATGAGAATCAACGAGATTATATAATTGCACTGTTTCCACTGGTTTTTTTTTATTCCTTCCAGCACTGCTAATTAATTGACGTATAATTGCCTGGACTTGCAAAGTAAATTTCCTTTTCTCCTCTTTAAACCAGAACACCTATTAAGATAAGAAAATAATCAATCTGCTGGCATTAACATTTAAAGTACATTAAAAAATAATATAAAATCATTCTTAAAAATTTACTTAACAATTTAATTTTTTATATTGAGATGATTGTTTGACGAGTTTTGATAATCGAATAATTACGAATTTCTACTTTAATGATGTAAGTTTAATTGAATGTGTTAACAGGAAATCTATAACATGCCAATTGTTTTAAATAGAAACCCAGCTAGATTTTCGCAAAACATGTCAGGTTTAGTTGTCTCAACACTGAACTGTGACAGCAATGCCTCTAAAATAATTGTACATTTTTGTTACAAATAGGGGGAGACAAATCACAAATCCCAACAAGATTCAAGAGGGACTTGGAACCAATCTTACAAATTTCTTTAATTATTGCTTTGGTTTCTTTTGTAGTTAGTTGCCTATTCACTAAATCATGCACGTTAATTAAATTCTTGGAACCCTTATTTAATTTTTTGTGCTTCCAGAATAAAGTTGTGACAAAGAGAAGACGCAAAATGCTGTACAACAATGACTGAATTACCACAGCCAAAAGGCTAGGACTAAATTACTGTCGACACATAAAAGTTCCCTCTTCTGTACCTAAGAAAAGAATCTCAATTTTTTCTTCAACTTACTCAAATTCACCCACCTAACTTTTCTCTCTCTATTGCAGACATAAAAGCTAAGGTACAAATTAAAGGTGAGAAAATAAAGGACGGCAGCGTAACTACCATGTTCATATGTTACTTTAAGTCTTCTGAGGCAAATAAGGACACATCCTTTTCCAAGGGTTGGTTTTGCCATTTTAAACGCCATGAAAGCTTTGGTACTAATATGTTCAGAATAATGAAAATTGTGTCTCCCACAAATAGATAAAGAAGAGTGAACCATGTCCTACATATTAGTCCTCTACCTTATATATATATATATATATATATATACCACATGATTTAAGTTTTTTTTTCTTTTTTAATAAAATTTGATCTCAATTATCTAATAATATATGGTATTAGAGTTTAAAAAAATCCAACGATCTGATAAAGATTTTGAATGGTTGATACAATGCCGAAATCAACAAATTCCGATACCTAAAACTCTACTTGATCTGACTTCAATAATTACTGATCTTATCACTTGATGTGTCAAATGATCTCATTTCTTCATTCTCCCTCCCCTAAGATCATCATGTGTCAATATCTAAAACATTTAATCTCAATCTATCGCTCAAGGACCAAGGTTCCATAGTACAAAACACTTGCGATCAGTAATATTGAATGGTGCAGATTTTGGAGATTTCGCTGTCCCTCTTGAACATCTTATCTGTGGTCTTAAAATTGCCACCTTTGTTTCCTTAGCTTGAGGTCTCATTAGAGACGGTTCCACTCAAATCTTTAAGCAGATATGAGACATCATTTAAAGTTTGATTGGCACATACACATACATAAAAAATGTATGTCAACACTCTTTCACTCTCTCTTATCTCTCTCTGTCTCTCTCATACACACACATTCAAACATTCAAACACAACGTGAGTGATAACAAGGAAAGAAAAGGAACAAGGAAAACATAAGGAGAATTTGCATTCGAGTTTGACGAGCTATAGATATGCTCCCAGCAATTCCCATGGAAATATCATTTTCTGTCTGGAATTTATGCAGAAGAGACATCAAAACCTTATCACCTGATTTCTTTCATCACTGTTAAAAACACTCCGGCGCTGTATCAAACCAACCTCTCTTATCACTCCCACCTGTCCAGACAACATATAGATGTACACACGTGTGTTTATCTCAGATGTTTCATGCACTCACTACAGATACCCAGTTTTGAAAATATATTCCTCACACGTGTGACCAATTCTGAAGAAAGACAGAGATTGCACTGAACAAGGTTTGTTCAAGCTAGGGTACTGTGAAACTCCAATCACACTTAACAATGAAAAACAAACCTTGTATTTGTACTGTTAGGTTAACATTTTGAAGATTGTTCTCTGACTTTCAAGAACAGAACTTGTTAAATTAATAGAGTTTTAGCTTTTAAAATTAGCTGGAGAATGTTTCCAAGATGACATGAATACTAATAAACTAGCTAGCTACCATTGGAAAGCATCAAAGAACATAGCTAGTCCTGCACAAACCTCAGCTCATGTTGTGATAAATATTAATTATACTCGTGTTTTGGGGTTCACTTCAATAGCACGTACATAAATCAGTTCATTTACATAACAAATTAATACTAAAAAGAAGAAGTTATAATGCAGAAAACACTAGTGCTCATGAGTGTCTCCATAGAATCATGGCCTCATTTGCAAAATAAAAGATTTAACCAGCGTAATTAGGAAAAATCTCAGATTCTCTCTTTTATCCTAGCTAGTTATCAAATTACAGATGAAGATCTAAACTCACTTGGTCTTGCACACTTGGCTTGGACTCATATCCATACCTCCCTTGTGAGCTTGAACCACCGGCCGGTGAGGGTTTCAATTCCTCACCTGCAAATAATGGTAATGGATGCATCGAACGGTCACGATGATGGACAGTAGCATTACCATGAACTGCCGGGATGCGCCACAAACCTAATGGACTCCCATTTATAGGTTGTTGTGAATGGGAACCATGACTGCCGTAAAACCTGTTAGTGGTAGTGTGGCTATTCCATGAAGGGTAAGTCATGGCTGAGGTCGGAGTTGAATCTATCCTGTAGTTTACAAGGCCATAATAGTGTGCATCTGAGAGGCTGTTGTGAACCATTGCCGACTGGAGGTGGGCACGTTTCGCGTGCTGACGCTCTCTTTTGTGCGCGTTTTGGTGGCCACCTAAAGCTTGAGAAGTAGGGAAGTTTCTGCAACAATAATGGCATTCAAATCTTCGGTTGTTGTCACTACTCTCACTTTCTTTTACGGTTTCTTCATTAGTTTCGGCTGACTCAGACTCCTCAGCTGCTGGACTGTCGTTGTTGCTGCCGAATTCTATGCCGAAGAGGCGAATGCCCTTTTCTTTGACGGGTGCAGGGCGGATAAAGGGCAGCTGAGAGAAGGATTCCACGTTCATGAAGTCACGAGTCTCTCTTTCAACCTTATCCATGAATCAGTGAACTATATATATATACTAGTTTTAGGTTTAATTAATACTGTGGAGGTTTGACAAGAAAAGGGAAGAAAGGAAGAGGAGGATTCAACTTAAGTGAATGAAGCGCTTCGGAGATGGAGGATTGGAGGAGGGGGTTTGTATGTGGGGTGTGAGGAGGCTGGGCCTATAAAGGAAGGGGAGGAGTTGAGGTGTGATCAATGGACAAGTGGGGCTGACCAATCTGAGAGTGAGGGCTGACACGGCCACAAGTTCTGGTCAGATGAGAGTGGCTTTGGCTTCTCAAAGTACCATCTTTGCTTGCTTTCACAAGTTTTTGGTTTGTTTTGGAAAGTTCCTGAACACCTCCTTAGATCTTCGGTAATTATGTTTTCACCCCCTGTTCGTTGTCTTAAAATGGAGGTCTGGTCCTCACAAGTAGTAATGTTATAGAATATCCTACTTTTAACGAAGTGACAGTAATAATTGTGGTAATAATAAGGTTTTTTCGCAGAGAAATTAATTGTTGAATACACTTTGATGTTGAGCTATGCTATCTTTCTTCTCTCTCACATTTATGCAAGATTTACAGTTGAAAACTAATCATAAACTCCACATAAATATTATTATGCATGAGAGAAGATCGGTAATACATATATACTTGGAGAGTAATATATAATAATAGTTACTACTTTTGTAGGACCATGTTTAGTTTCGAAGGAATCTATAATCAAATCAATGTTAAAAATAGAAGTTTTAGTGGTGGGAATAGTAATGCTTTTTAAAATTTTTTTTTTTTTTTAAATGCTTATGATTGAGATTTTTGTATGAAAAATAAGGTTTCAGTTCAAACCATATATATATAAGAATTGAGAATGTAATTCAAATGTTCACTAATAGTCCGTAGGATTATTATTATTATTATTTAATTTTATCCAATATCTCATTACACATATTAAAAATATGATTAATTATGTTTGGAATGAAAGTGATAAAATTTAATTTTTTTAACAAGTACAATTTTAAGATTTGAAACCTGCATATTAAAAATAAATTTATCTTAAAACCAATTCGTTTACTACTAGATCAATAACTTATCGATGATAGGATTAGTTTTCTTTAATTGTCTCTCTCTTTTTTTCCCTTTATTTTTTGTGGTTTGAGTTTGGTAAGTTTGTTAGCACCAATTAATGAGAGGGCAATCCCTAAGTTTCGCTATTGAATTTTGAGCTACCTATACAAAGTTAATTAAAGAGATAACCCTATATCAATTAGGGAAGCTTGCTTAATTATTCAACCAACTTCAAGTGTGATATATAGCTTACTTCAAGAAACAAAATTTCAGGGAAATTGAGATGCCCCAGGTTCAACTGATAATGTTGCCATTTTACTTTTCTATCTTTTAAAATATGTTTCAAAATTAAGGTAAATTATAAATTACGTTATTTCCTTCGAGTTTCGAGAAATAAAATTATTAGTTTCTTTTGTTTAAAAAATTAATCATTTATTTTTTAAATAAAAAATAAAAATAAAAATAAATATTATGGAAATATTGATAAGAAAAAAAAATCATTTTTTAGAATAAATTAATATTAAATTAAACATGATCAATGTTGATTAAAAATTAAATAATTACTTTTTTTTTAAAAAAAGAGTACTAATTAATTCATTTTTATGCCTTTAATTGTTATATTTTTTTACCATTTTTTTATTTTCTATTTTTTTTAAATGTTTTAAAATTTTAAAAACAATAAAAAGTAGTGATTCCAAACAAGACTTGTTAGTAAGTTTAAACCGAATAATTCCATAGTTTAGTGTATTTTATATAGTTTAGCCACCAATGTTTGCTTTTATACATGTCATAACCCAAATTTTGGGTTATATATTTTCCTCTAATTTTATCCATTTTATATTTTATTTTATCTTATTTTTATCTTATTTTATTTTATTTCAATATTTATTACAAAAACCATAAAAAAAAAGAGAAGAAAAGATATATATATATATATATATATATATATATACACACACACACACAAAATACAAAAAAAAGAAGAGGCATGACATGATTAATTAGGGGCATGATTGAATAAAAAAAACTAAATTTGATACAATTATGGATACAATTGAAATCATTAAAAACCCTAGGATTGAAATTAAAAGATATAGGGGTTCAATTGAAAAAACTTGAAAGAACTAGAGACCAAAATTGAACACCTAAAGGATATAATTGCGAACAACGCACAAGGACTAAATCGAAGTTAGAGAGTGAACAATAGGACCAAAAAGTGAGTGAATGGCCTATCTTCGCTTCAACCTAGAATCAATTCCACGATACTATTCATCGTCTTCTTTCCGGGAGTACAAGTCCATTTTTTGTCAAAATTCTTGGCTAGCATCCATACCAATCAAGAATCGCACTTCACACCTGCACTACTCGCACTACCTACACCTACACAAAAAACCAAACATTACGAACATATTTTGTTTTGGCTTTGATTTTTATTTTGTTCATAAATGGTAGAAAACCCACTCGTCAATTTTGATTTTAGCAATTGAGAGTTTCAATCGATTGGGGAAGGATCATAGGGTAGGAATTCGTTAGAGTTCGGTTATAAATTGAGGTGTTGGAGGAATTGAGGGAGAGAGAGAAAAGGAGAGGATTATGGTTTGAAGGTTTTTGGGTTCTTTGAATTTTTAGGCTTTTTGAAGAACAACCCGGGTTTTGGGAGGAGAATAAGCCCTAGGTTTTAAGTCCAAAGAAGCAATTCCTATGCTTAGAATCGTTCTTGGGCTTACGAAGAATGATTCTAAGGTGAAAAGAAAAACAAAACACATAGTCTTGGTCCAAAATACATCATGGGTTTAAGGGAGATTCGGTTCATGCAAGAAGCTCATAGGATTCTTTAAACAATAGCCAATCCAATCTCGCACATTCACCCATCTTGTTTCAAGGGAGTTCCTTCTAACATCTTAGAACACTTCAAATCACCAAAACATCTCTAAGCTCTTGTTTGCCTAGATTTTACGAGTTATGATTTCCTTTTTCTTTCTTTCCTTTCTTTAGTTATTATTTAACAATGATGTTGTCACGAGTTATGTACTTGTAAACACACATTTTGAGTAGTTATTTACTATAAAATCCTTAGGTTGTCAAATTAGCTTTTAGCATTGGTCATGCTGTGTGTGTAGCGAAAAGAGGAGGAAGAAGAGAGTGAGAAAAGAAAGAAAGCTTTAGCAAGGGAAAGAAAAGGAAAGAAAAAGAAGGGAAAAAAGGGTTGGGCTCGGCCTAGCCCATGAGAAAGAGAGAGAGAAAAGGTTGGGTTTAGCTAGGCCCGAGTGAAGAAGAAAAGAAGGAGGGCTGGTTTCAGCTCGACCCAAAAGGGAAGGAAATAGCAAGCTTAGCCCACTGAGCCCAAAATGCCCAATACTCATAATTTAGCTATTTTTCTAGATAAATCGGCTTCGAAATTATAATACATTTCTTTTATTTTATGTCTAGTCTAGATTTAATCTTTTAGAATTTTTCGATTATTTATGTCTATTTATTTATCTAGTCAATGCTTAGTTTTTTTTTTTAATTTTCTTTCAATAATTAGATTAGCTTATTAATAGCTAGGTAGATGATTCATTGATTTTTCTAATTTTTAGGGACTAATGATGACTCCCTACCAATACAAAAAATATAAAATAAAAGAAGAGAGAAAAAAAGAGAAAAAGAACAAAAGAAAAATATAGAAAATGCTAGGTGAAAAATTAACAAAGTAATAAGAACTGATGTTAACTCAAATAAATCATATTTTAATAATTAAGTAATTCTTTGACATGTCGGTTATGTCGAGACTTGAATTGAATTCGATGTTGAGTTGACGAGACTCTCGATGGTAGAATCGACAATCGATTCAATATGATGCTACAAACAAAAAGGAAAAAATCAAGTTGGCTTAAGAAATAGAACTTGCAATTTAGAATTAAGATTAATTTTGACAATAATAGAATTTTTTTAGGGGATAAAATATAGAATTAAATTAGACGTAGTACCTTTTTTAGAAAGGGTGCTTTTGGTTGTTGATATTTTTTCAAAAACATAACCAATTCATTATCTTAAATTTCGAACTAGTATCTATTTTAGGTTTTTAGTTATCGTTAATACTAGATGACGACTCAAAAATTAATAATAGATCATATCCCGAAATAAAATAAAATATTTAACAAAATAAATAATAAAATTTTGGAAGTCCCATTAAAAGTCGGGTAATGACAATAAATGTGTATGTGCGCGAGAGAGAGAGATTTTTTCTTTTTTCTTTTCTCTCTTTGATCTTTTGATCTCTGTTTGACACATTTTTTTTATTTAGGGAAAACATCTCAAGTTTGCACTAGAAAAGTGGGGATAGAGATCCACAATTAGGTAGAGGCCTCTAGAGAGAGAGAAAAAAAGGCAGATATTCGATCTCTTCTCTTCACGGCTTGATAATATTTGCTTTGAGATTCATTCTGGTCGAGTTTTTAGAGGTTAGAACAAAATAGAATTCTTCAACCTAATTCTTAGAAGATGTTAAAGCACATGTTTGCTATATATCTTTTTGTTATTATGCTATCTTGTGCTCTGATTAGGTAAAATAGGTGATGTCTCATAGTTTAAAATTTCCCCTTGTAGGTTTTGAGACTTGTACTGATTAGTGAAGTTTCAATTTTACCCATCAAATAAATCATATACGATATCTAGATAGGTATGTTTTTGCATAGAACTCGTTTATTGAGTTTTTATCTTGTTGCATAATAGATTTACTTAGTCTCTTTTTTCTCCTTTTTAGGAGTTTTTATTAATAAATCTTAGTTTATCGGAAAAAAAAAACTCTATATATGTATAATCTCTCACAAAAAGACTTAAAAACCGAAACTGTTGGATTATTTTTAAATAAAATATTAAAAGCATCTAAAACGTTACAAACGTTTCTGTTTTGAAAAATTATTAAAAACAAACCGTTACATGTCGTTGGTTTTTCTATCATACT